TTCTGCTGTAAGCAGAAGGGGCTGTGGTAACAGTTCCCTGCTCTGCCCGTCCCTCAGGTCCTGCTGGCACTGGACCCCTGGCTCCTTACAAAGACTGTGGTTGCCAAGATTCCAGAAGCCTTAAGGATTCAACTTGATAACTAAAGAGGGAAAAGGGATGAGAACATTTCCCGAGTGCCAGCTATGTGTTGGGAAAATTTCTAGTGTACACATGAGGACATAGCAGCTTTAAAAGGTTTAACACCTTGCCTAAGATCCCATGATCGGAGGCATTGTTCAGAACTGCATGTGTCTGATCTCAAATCCCCATCCAAGGAGAAGGGCAAGACAGTCCAGTGCTTTCAAGCTGCCATGAGCTAAGAGGGAGGTTGAGGTGAACAACAGAGATAAGAAATCTGTTTGGCACAACATGTAACTAAGACCCACATTTTCACATAAAGGATAGATGATTTTGAAGGTCAATATCCGGTTTTTCTTTTTAGAAGATTTTATTTATTTATCTGACAGAGAGAGCACAAGCAGGGAGAGTGGCAGGCAGGGGGAGAAGCTGACTCCCTGCTGAACAAGTCGCCGATGCGGGACTTGATCCCAAGACCTGGGATCATGATCTGAGCTGAAGGCAGACGCTTAACCGACTGAGCCACCCAGGCACCCCTCAAAATCAGTTTTTAATTTTTCTTTTCTAAAAAAAAAATGCCTCTATATAATACATGTACAAAAAATGTAAAGTATAATTATTTTTATGAGCAAAACATTTCATACCAATGAGCATTAAGAGATCAGATAAGAATAACAAAAATAGTGAGAAGCACACTGAAAAAGTTTAGCTAGGTCCCCAAGATAACATGACTTTTTAAGAGAAATGAATTCAGAACAGATAAATATTGGGTTGTTTTGTCTCACGTGCAGTGTCATCAGCCCTTTGGACAGTTGGGCCTGAGGTTTGTCTCCTGTCTGAGCTCCTTCTCAGGGACTACGTGTTCACGCCAGTCTCTGCAAAGATGGCATAATTGTATGTAACCACCAACAGGCACGAGCCTGTCTGTAAGTTTTCATCGCCTGCAGGTGGGTACCAAGAAGTAAGTGGCTATAATCATTTTCCCCTCAAGGCTGTCTTCCTTATAAGAGCCGTTGTATAGTTGTGGGACTTCCCTTTATCAGGTGTGAGGTAGTTTAGCTTTGTTCAAATCACATTTTGTTCTGTGGGCCCATCACACAAGGAGTCTGAGCCTCAAATCCCCCCAACCACGCTTCGCTCTCTGCCCTCCGGGGGCGGGGGCAGGGGCGGGCCGGCCACGTGCCGTCCTACAGTGGAACCTGCAGCTGTGACCAGCAGGGGAAGAAGCATAGAAGGCCTTTGCTAAAAGCTGAAGGAGAATTTTCTCATGACAGGATGAAGGAGGAGGCTGGGAGAGCTTCAAAATCACTGGGGATATCTCTGTCCCTGGTAAACAGCAAGGAAATATTAACAGTGTCTGACATCCAGCAACCCGCAGGAAGCTGGTATAGGGCAACATTGGGACTGTGAAAATGGCACCAAAGTGGAATGAGAACAAGGCCTAGGAGTAGAGGAAGAGCATCGCTGGAAAGAAAATTATTTTTCAGAGTTGTAAGGTGGAACTAGGAACATGCCCCGAGCAAGCACGTGTCCTTGGGTCCTGTGTGCTCACATGTCAGCCTTGGGACCTTGGGCCAGTCCCTTCTCCTCTCCGCACTCCCTTCCCATGTAAAATGGGAAAGCTAATACCTGTCCTGTCACCTGTCACCTGTCTCGGCATCGCGGCGGAGGGTTCAGTTACTGAGTGGCTAAGGAAAGGGCTTGGTCAAATTCGACGACGATCTGAAAGGACCTTGAGGATCTGAACGAAAGTCTCTGCTGCGGCCATGATGCAGCACACGACAGGTGCACACGGCAGAAGGTGGGACGTGGGAAGGACCAGCTGGCCAGAGGGTGCTACACTTCAGCTGCGAGGGGCAGTTTATCTTGAGGGCGCTGCCCCAGCAAGAAAATCAGGCATTTCAGGCAGATTGGCGAGTGTGTGATGAGCTCAGAGAGGGGCGAAGAGTCACCGCCCTGGCTAGGGTGCAGAGGGAGAGGGAGTGGACCTGGAAGGGCTTGGGGGCCCCACCCGGAATGCAGGCTTTTCTCTGTAGGTCCTCGTTTCTGTTTTCCAATGTTCAGATTACTCTGGTAGCAGCACGAAGATTGACAGGCAAAGGTGAGGCTAGAGGCAAAGAAAGACACCGGGGCTCTAATGCAGGAGCCAGGGGACAGCCCCTGAGGCCAGGTGTGGAGGCGCTTAGAGGATGGTGATGCTTATCATTTCATTTAGAAATAGTAATAATAACTCCATTACATGTTATTATAAAGAACATCTTTTTCTTGAAAAACAGCTATTTATAAAACAAAGCAAAATCAAAAAAGCAAGAAGAGTGGCATTGTTTTACACTTTTGCAAATCTCTTAAAAGTCTGACTTAGAAGACAGCTGGATTCTCACATCTGCTTTTGCATCATTCTGGTGGAAGTATATGAAGACAATCCAGCCTCACACAGATATGTAGTTGGAAAATGGAGGGGTATTTTAGTATCTTTAGAAGTAATTATGGATATTCTCGATAATACAAGGAAACTCAACAAATGATAGTTTCTTAAAGGTTAATTGCAGGGTGGAATATGAAACCCTATCAATAACCCCTTTGCACTTGGAACAGATCTTATACCCACAATACTGGCTCACTGGGGCGCCTGGGTGAATCAGTCAGTTGAACAGGGACTCTTGATTTTGGCTTGTAGGATCGAGCCCAGGGTTGGGCTCTGGGATCCACTTGGGATCTGCTTGAGGTTCTCTCCCTCTGCCCCTCCCCGACTTGTGTGAGTGCTCTCTCTTTAAATAAAATCTTTTTTTTAAAAAAGGGAAAAAGAGGGGCACCTGGTAGCTCAGTTGGTTAAGTGTCTGCCTTCAGCTTAGTCCTGCTCCTGGGATTGAGCCCCACGTCGGGTTCCCTGCTCAGTGGAGAGCCTGCTTCTCCCTCTCTCCCTCTGCTTGTGCTCTCTGTCTCTCTGTCTCTCTCTCTCTCAGATAAATAAATAAAATCTTTTAAAAAATTTTTTTAAAAAGGAAAAAAGAAAATACTGGCTCACTGAGTTATAGATTTCCAAATGTTAATATACCTTTTCAAAATAGGAGATTAAAAAGTCCCACTCAGGGCACCTGGGTGGCTCAGTCGTTAAGCGTCTGCCTTCGGCTCAGGTCATGATCCCAGGGTCCTGGGATTGAGTCCCACGTCGGGCTCCCTGCTTGGCAGGAAGCCTGCTTCTCCCTCTCCCACTCCCCCTGCTTGTGTTCCTGCTCTCGCTCTCTCTCTCTCTGTCAAATAAATAAATAAAATCTTAAAAAAAAAAAAAGTCCCACTCACCAAACACACATACACATGCACACACCTTATCAGAAAAATCTTTATATATTGGGAAGCTGTCAAGCTCACAGGTGCTATCTTTAATTCAGAAATCTGCATCTCCAGGACCGTGGGATCATGACCTGAGCCACGCAGGGATCGAGTCCCGCATCCGGCTCCCTGCTCGGCGGAAGGCCTGCTTCTCCCTCTCCCACTCCCCCTGCTGTGTTCCCTCTCTCACTGTCTCCCTCTCTCTCTGTAAAATAAATAAATAAAATCTTTAAAAAAAGAAATCTGTATCTCCAGCCCAGAGCCCTCCACGGAGTTCCAGACTTACTTATCCAACTATCTACTTGACATCTCTCTGCTCTCTCAAAAGCCTCTCAAACTCAGCATGACAAAAGTGTACTTGGTCTTTCTGCTCAAACCTGGTCCTGTGCCATGTCCCTAGACAGAGAATCACCAGTAGGAACTGGAGGCAGAGATCTCTGAGATGCTCTCTCCCTCACTACATCTGCTCCCACAAACCCATGCCTGAGTCCTATCATGGCTAAGTGCTATTATGATGCACTGTAGCCACGTCTGTTCACAGGAAACCCCCAACAGGACATAGATGGAAACTCTTAGGTCACACATCACAGGCTTAGGAAAGGGAAAGCTGGGGTGCCTGGCTGGCCCACTTGGTGGAGCATATGACTCTTGATCTCAGGGTTGTGAGTTTGAGCCCCACATTGGGTGTACAGATTACTTAAAAATAAAAAAATAAAAAGGGCGTCTGGGTGGCTCGATCAATTAAGCGTCTGCCTTTGGCTCGGGTCATGATCCCCAGGACCCTGGAATCAAGCCCCACGTAGGGCTCCCTGCTCAGTGGGGAGTCTGCTTCTCCCTCTTCCTCTGCCCCTCTCCCCACTCGTGTGCTCTCTCTCTTTCAAATAAATAAATATCTTAACAAAAAATAAAAATAAAAAAGGAAAGGGAAAACTGCTCCACAGTTAGCTCAGCAAGTTCAGGGCTCAACACTTGACCCTAGGTTTAGGTGACATGGCTTATTAAGCGACAGAATTAATTCTTTTTATGGCAGTATAAGATGCCCCTTCCATTTGGGTCTGGTCCTGGGGCTGATCAGGACAAGTTTGTTGGGTGCCAAGACCTGTTACTAAGGGACAAGAGATGTGCTCTCAAACTCCCATTCCGCTTTCTAGGACAGATGATGGAAGAATGGGAAGACGGTCCCTCTTTCCCACCACAGAATAGATCCAGGGGAGATCTTCTGACTCCTTGTGTTGTTAAACCTTATGAAACTAGAAGGAAATGTTCAAATGAGGAGGAATAAAAAGTTGAAACCTATATAGCCCCACAGTGAAACTCAGAAGGCTTCTCAATGCTGCATCCAGTCAAGACTGTCTTGCTGCCTCTTGCCATGGCCGAAGGCAGCCAAGATGGCAGCGCTTTGAAATTAAGTGGAACTGACCCAAGACCATCCCCTTTGTAAACCAGAGCAACTCCCACAACCTGAGGGTAAATGAACCAACCCCTGCCTTTAGGCATGGAGTCAGAGCAAATCAGCTAGCTATATGTAAGAGGAATGAAGGGCAGATATGCATAGTTTCTAAGTAAGAAATTTATTTGATCAAATGACAGTATATGAAGATATTTTCAACTATAAGGCTCTATTCGGACAAAATTTCAATTGATTATGAAGTAAATGGTAACAATGTCAATGGCACCTAAAAACAGAAAGAATGAATTTCCTGTAAATGTGTCTGTATAAAGCATTCATAAAATCCTCATGTACTTTAAAACTAGGTTGCAAGTATAACAGATTCACCTATAAATAGTACCTAAAAGCAGGTTTCTGAAATGACACAATATGTCATTACACACAGGGTATCCGGGGCTCCCAGGAGAAGCAAAGAAAGGCTGTCCGTAAGGAAATGTGTCATCCCTGGAGCAAAACTGAAGTGTTTGCACACTGCAGCCTCGAGTTCCCTACCCACTAGTCTGTCCTTTCAGGTCCTCGGGAATTGCAATTGAACAGGTGGGAATTTCTATCACTCTCATTGGAAATAATTAAAAAATGAGGTTGGGAAACCAGGGTTGGAAAAAAGGGAGGGGAAATAGAGGCATGGCAAGGTCCGAGGTTTCTGCAAAGCAGCTTTAGAAATGTCCAAAGAAATGGATATAAGAGATAAATAAATGTGAATCCTCAGAGCTGCTCCCTGGGGTCCACAGGGAGGAGGGCACCACACAGCACCCGGGCGGGTGAGCACAGGCTGACCTGCACGCCCAAGCGCTTGCTGGGGGGTGCCACCCACACGCTGGCAGGACGATTTTCCCTGGAGGCTGGAGTCATTCCCCAGGTGCACCAGGGACAGGGCAGAATGTGTAGGTCACATCAACTTTTCCCAAAGATTTTTTTCCAGCATCCAAGAGGGCTCTGCCTTTGGGGCCAGGATAGGACCTGGGAGGCAGGAATTGGCAGTTCCAAGTTATAAAACCAGAAAAGCTTCAGACATGTGGAAGGAGAACCAGATAGGAAGGTGGTGTCTCCCAGGGTGCAGACTATTAGCAGCGAAGCACAAAGGTGTCCGACGATGAAAGGGCAACGGAACCATAGGGAGCAGTGAAAAAGATCCCAGAAAGCAACGGGTGGTAACTGACAATTATATAGCACCCATTATTACTAATTTAAGATATATAAACACCACTGGGTTTCTATCTAGTATCTGTGCTATTATTTTATAAATATAAATATGAGGGCTTTCAAAATATTACAAATGACGCATACATTCTGGTACAAATGTTACAATCCTGATTCATACAACAGACTCGATGTTACATTTAAACCTAGTAGATGTGGGGTTATAAATAGAATAATTTTCGCAGATCATTTTCTGAACCTTGGTCACACAGCTAAGTGAACACCAAAAAGCACAGGAAGCGTCGTATTGGTGGCTTTGCAGCAAACGTGTTTTTTTTTTTTGTCCATGTATTTATGCCTTTACACAAAGATACATTTGTTCACTTGTATAAATGAATTCAGAGCCAACCATAGGAGATCTTACACTTAAAACTCTTTTGTTTTCTCATCTGCTTCTTTGCTATCAAGTCTACGTGGGAGGGCTACTCAGTGGCTTGCATCTCCTTTCCTCCCAGCCTCATTGTCTTCCTTAGACGTGTGTATTTAAAAATAGTTTCATGTTTCCCATTCAGGCTAAGTGGCTCTTCTCAGATTCATAAGCTTGGGTTGACAATCTTCATTATGAACGACACTGACGTGCGTGCACGCACACACATGGGTTTTAATAAAAACAGTAAATGAATTCCGATCATCAAGTTTTAGCAGCGTGCCTTTAAAAATGTTTCTTCCCAGCGCTGCAGAAAACCCTCTAAACACATGCATGTGGATCGTTAGAGAGGACCCTTCCCGCTGTCTCATCATGGCAAAGTGAGACACACCAGAAGGTGGGTCAGGCTAAGAAACCCCAAGCTTCTGTGGATCCACAGAACATTAAAGATGTGGCCTCAGCAGAATCTAAAATTACTTTCTCTTCAGGGAAGGGTGTCGTATCTAATTACTCTATAGAGTGATTTTGTAAATTAGTCTTCTGCATGTGGAAACTAAATGGTCTACGTGACCCTACCCCGACAGTTAGAGGACGCAGGACCAGCTCCATTATGTTACGGTTACTGCACGTAGGATCTCAGGCACAGCAAGGGACCGAATGAATCTTCACAGTCTTAAATCCAAGGTTAAGTCCATTCACCTGTGTTTCATTTCCCCCAAATAAATTTATAATTTAGGAAACTGAAGAGGCCACACTAATCGTGAAGTGAAATCAGCCTTTTCACTGTGGTGTTAATAAGGCAACATCTGATAAAGATGTTAGGAGCTGGATTCCCAGTCTGTGGAAATTTTCTTAGGAGTAACCGAGCATGTAAATTTAACTCAAGTGAAATTACTAAAATAATTAGCCTAAAATGGATTTAGGAAAGTGAGGTGACCCTTGAGTAGCTTATCTACCTTCTCTGACAGAAATCACCTTTTGACAAGACAGGCTGCTTTGGGCTCACCTTACCTGAAAGTAATTTCATTGGGAACTTTTCTTAGCCATTTACTATAACAGGGGACTGACTCAAGTTGGTTCTAGTGGATAAAATAAAATCAGCGTGATGTATGATATAGCATAGTCGATCAATGGGCTTCACCCATTTGAGTGCCACAGTCACCCTGACCAGTCTGACTGATGATTTCAGCAAACTTCTCATTTCCCACCAGCCGAATACCCCGGTTTCCTGAAACATGATTCCAGTAGGAAAGAGAGATTTACAATCAAGGCCCTCACAGCAACATCTAGCTAGGTTGGGTGCCCATGGCATGGCTTATGGGAAACTGCCCCCAAAGCTGTGTTTACATTTGCGAACCTGGCCCTGGGTATTTGGTACACATTTTAAGGAGACACCTATGGCTCTGGAGGAACCGCCTGAAACTTCAGACCACAGGATGAAAATGCTCTTTCACTCACTTCCTTCTGTGACACTTGTTTAATCACTTGACTCCCTACCCCAAGTAAAGTGTTCCCCACACCAGGGTGTGTGGGGACAAGATGGCTCCAAATCACAGGTGAGCTGAGTTTTGCTGCAGGTCAAGCTAAATTCAGAACTGCTTCCATCTGTTATCTTTCCAGCTTTGGTTTCCAGACCCGATTACACACAGCATAATATAAGGGTAATGTGAGCAAAGGATGATGAGTTTTGCTCATTATCCAGCTCTCTACACAATGCCCAAATAAGTGAGGTGATCTAGTGGAGTAATGTGTTTGGCCTGGGAGAAAAAATAAACACCAGCCAAATCACATCTTTATAATCTTCTAGCTTCAAAATTCAGTTGAACAAGGCCTGAGACTCCCTGCTTTTTTAATGATACCTCAACCTCAATTTCAAACTTACCCTGTTTGCTAAGACTATCAAATGGACGACCCCATTGCCACAGTGGAGAAAAAACTATTTGTGAGAAAAATGAACCACAACTCAGAAAAAATAAGTGAAAAGGCATTTGCATTGACAGAGTGCTAAGTTAAAACAATGATATATCTAGAAAACACTGCGAAAATATATATCTCAAAATAGAACTAGGTTTAGTCAGAAGGCTCAGTAAAATAATTGCTTAAAAAGCTGATTAATAAAAGGAGAGCTCAAATAACCTTCCCATTTTCTGACCCTCACTTTCCTGCCCTCAGACTATCAGTGCTATAGCAGACTAATCAAAAAGCCATGAAGAAGTGCGGGTATTTTCAGGGTCTCTTCAAGACAATTTCCATCTTGGTCACTTGACCTCTCTCTCTGATCAAGGCAACTGATGGACTTTCAGTGCATTTGGAGACACGGGCTCAAAGACCTCGTCGTCATCTTCCACCCCTTCTTCGATTGGTTTCATCTTGGTGGAGCCCCGCTGGTGTGGGGACGGCACATCTGTCAAAGACACAGAGAGGAAAACCACTTAATGTCCAGCCTGCCCTGATGTTGGTATGATGTATCAATGAGAAACTCCAACTGGAAAGGAAAACTCTCTGGGACTCTATCGCTAGCACCAGGAATGCAATTTCCCTAAATACTGTATTTTCAATTCAGCATTTCAAGAAAACGACGAAGTCAAGAAATGATTCTCAGTCCTGAGAACAGACATGGAATGGATTCCAGTGCACGTGTTTGGATGATAGAAGCTTCTCAAACATATGCAGTTTCCAGTGGGTTGCGTTGCCCTAAAGTCTGATTAGGACTCAGAATGCCTGTTCCTGCATTAATAGCATACATGGTGACGCTAGTTCCTCAACAGCTGATTTCACTCCTAACTTCCCTAAAGAAGAGTTCCGTCCTAAAGCTATGGAAGCTAACACCATCTGTAGGACCACCACTGGCCAGTCACTGCCAGGACTGACACGGGAGCAGGAGGGACGGGAGAGAGGGAGGGGGGAGGGAGAGGGGAAGGGGGGAGGGGAGGGGGGCGAGTCCAGGCACACAGGAAGGAAAAGCCAGGTGAAGAAAATACAACCCCAAGTAGCAGAGGGGGCAGGAACATCCCTAAAGCCTTTTACATCCAAGGAGTCAAGTGATGAAGGGCTCGGTCCACCCCCCCTTTGTTCATGCGTTCTTCCACAGAAGGGACACCACGATTGATAAAGAGAAAAAACGTGGTTTAAAAGTAAGAGTAGAAGTTCCTATAGATGGGCGCATAGCCTTCTCAAGTGCTTGATAAGCAGCTCCCAGGACAGCATAAACACCCCTCCACAACGTTCCCACATTCAATGTCAGGATTCGTTCTGTCGAGGTCCCTGTCTGCCCCGCCCACAGCCACGTGGTGCCCTTGCTGCCCTCCAACAGGGCGGAATGGTATTCCGTCAATCGGTCAATCAGCAAATACTGACCTCAGGCCGGGCGTAAGGTTGGTAATGGAAGAACAATGGGTGAAACCCAACTCTTCAAATACTTGGTATAGAGCACAGGGGGGTAGTGGGACCCCACTAAGATGCGTAGCAGAACTGCTACAAGAACTTTACAGAGATCACCTGTTAGTCCCTGCTGACAGCAGATGCTGTGGGCGAGCAGCACGGGCAGGGGACCTGCAGAGCCACACAGCCCCAGGGGAGGCAGCACGCACCGAGCTCAAGGCCCCAGGCGCAAAACACAGCTCCCGGGTTCAAAACCCTGCTCTGCTGCTCCCTAGCTGTGTGATCGGCACTCCATCACTAAGCCTCAGTTTCCATATCTGTAGAAGGAAGGGAGATAATCCCAGGGCCCGCCTAGTGCTGCTGTTGGGAGATAAAACACAATAACCGGGTCACGGACTCAGCAGGGTGCTGGGCACACAGAAAATGCCGCTCCATGTTTATTACGAACTGCATGGTCCCAGGCACGCTTCGGGCAGATGCTGCTCCCAACAGCCACAGCTTCCGACATAAAAAAGATAGATATGAGTTAGACTGGCCTGAGCTTTGGTATAGTTGATGTGTTTGCTGTGCCAACATGGAAATTGTTCACTTTCAAGCATTTACAATCAGTTCAAATACTGAGTTTCTTGAAAGACAACTACGGACATCAACTGTAGAGAATGAGCCTCTATTAAAAGGATCCAGGAACACAATTCTGTCACGGAGCAGCACGGCGCGGCAGAATCATCCAGGCAAGTCTTTGAGCCTTTTCTCGCAGGCGAGAGCACAACCACCAACCACAACCTCCAATTTGCATGTCTACTCAAGTGGCAACGAATACAATCCGTGTGAGCTTGGGCAAGTTACTTCACTTCTCCCTGCCTCAATTTCCCTATCTGTAAAATAGGAAGCATGCTCTTATCTACTTCATATGGTTGTTAAGAGGACTAAGTGGCTGACTGTTTGTATAGTTCTTACCTCAGTGCCCGGGATGCAATAGTCATTTTGTCAGTTTGTAAGTTAATGAAACGAGTTATTAATACAGTCTGTGGAGGGCAATGGACTAAGTAATTAGAAAATTTGTTAAAATTCATGATCACCGGTAGGAATGGCGAATAAAAACAAGCGGGACTTGTCCTTGAATGGGGGTTTATGTTTCTCTATCGAAACGGTCCCATGTGCAGCAAAATTGTCTTAAAAAAATAGCCATGGCTTCCGTCATATGTCTAGCCTCCAGTTATGACTGAGCCTCATAAAACATTAACTCAGGCTGAGTATTTGCAATCAGATAAAAACTCTCCGAACAAACAACAAGATGGCATGTCTAAGAGCATTAAACTGAATCAATAAGGTAGAGCATTCAGACATGATTGTATAACACCCGTAAAAGAAACACACCCACTTTATTTTGACTGGGGAAGTGGGACTCATTGCTCTGGGTTTTAGCCCATCTATCAAAACAGGATCCTACGGCTGCCATCTACATCGGGGTCAAAAGTTCTTTGCCTTCTCAGTTCCATCACCAATCGGTGCATTTTCCCACTGAGAGAGAATGAAGAGAGGACCCAAGACAACTGGAAATGACCTGGTGAAAACCTTCCAAGGACTTTCAACTTCTCTGTGAAAGAATTTGTCTGTTCCCCAGTACATTTGCCGGGGCCAAGGAAGAGCTGTGGTGCTTCCTACATAGCATTAAAAAGACAGTGGTGTGGGAGTCATTCACAGTCGTGGGGTGACACCCAGGGGTCTCCAAGTCGGGCCTCCTTTCTCTTCCAGTCCAACCTCTGGCAAACTCACTGCTCCCCAAATCCAACTCATCCTTTCCCTCTTCTCTTGCTTTTCTCCTCGCCTGGAGTGGCCTCTCCACTCCCATCCCTACCCATCAAATTCCTATCCATTCCTCAAGGTCAAGGTCAAACCCCACCTCCTTCATCTGGAGTCTTCCCTAATTCCTTATGTGGAAAGATTCTATTCCCTAGAGACTGACAACTCGTTCTGTAGTTCATTGTGATCAGAAGTACGTGCCTCTGTCCCTTACTGGAAAACGAGCATCTTGCGGGCTGTAACCACACCCTCTCCTGTCCTGAGAAGTAGCCCCCATGTAGCCAGGTCCTTGATAATTACTTAGTACATGAAAATAATTACTTAGTCCATGAAACTCCACATGAGGCCTTCAGAAGGCTGAGCCTGAGGATGAGGGAAAGACACACAGCCATCCCCTTTCATCTCGGATGGGTCAGTTCCCCACCTGTATTTCTCATGTGCAGGCGGTCTCAGGTTACAGTAAAACCTCACTCTGAAAAGGGACTGTTATTACTATATGCTGTGTCATGTTCCCTGGGGAAATCATTGTCATATAATTGACTTCAATTATATGACAGTAGGTTATAGGAGTGCATACAGCATGGGCAAGAGCACCGTCCCCTCAAGTAAACATCAGTAGGCTCGGCTGTATCATCACCGGCCACGAAGTTTTCATCCAATCAGCAAAAAGTGCCCCTGAGTGATGACAAGGCATCAGAGGCTGGGTTAAATGTTGGGGAACTGAAAGTCTCTGACTCGATATTTTGTTTCTCAGGAACTCAGTGCACTTTTCAGAGCAACTCGTGCTCACCACATCCATACAATTTTTCTGCTTTATACTCAGAAGCTAAAGCAAAGACAACCTGGAGAGCCTGTGAAGGAAAGGCGAGTGGGGCAGCTGTGGTGTTCAAACGCCTTCCTCATCAGGAAGGGGGCCACCTCGGCAGGGTCCCATTCTGGCAGGATAGACTGCGGGCCCTGAGAGCCCGGCAAGATTGCATATTCCTGCTACCGTTCTTTGCACAGGATACTAGATTCACTCTCCTTTCAGGTTTCGTGGCTGGGTTAGAGTGCACAGACCCCTCTGGTCCCAGTTCCCACAGCAGCGCCTTGCTGTCCTTCCTTCCCTCCGCCCTACCACCCCACCCCCAGCAGATGCACTGGAAGGCAACAGGAACTGGGCCTACCTGGTAACCACTGGAAGCTACCTGGTGCCGGCTGGCTGCCTGACCCCTCCATAGGAGTCAGGGTCGCAGAGAGTGCCCACACTTTGTCCCAACCTCAGTTGGCCTGGGCCTCCTGTACCCCTGAAGGCCAAGGGTGATGGTCACCTGGTCTACCTGCGGGTCTGTCACTGTTGTGGCCAGGAGAAAGTCAGACTCTGAGGAGCAGGAACTCACTTGCCCTAGATCTGATGCTCTCCAACTTTGACCAGACACCTGCTGGTTCGGTGGAAAGACTCAGTCACCATCACTATGCTGCTAGAAATAATTTCTTTGTCCACTAATAAATCTAAGCCCAATCTGGAGTGTGCACAACAACAAAACCCCCCAAAACTATAAAAAAAGAAGAGAGCATATTCTCCTTCAAGGGAACTATCTTACATTTCCCAAGTTGAACATTAATAAATTCTTTCTACAAGTTTGCCTGGTTTTTCATTAATTTTATGCAGTGATGCATCATCAGAAATTTGCCCAGAAGGCCCAAACCTACCTAGATGTAAGAGCATGAGGAGAGGAGAGAGGAAGAAATTGAACTTATCTTTAGTTAAGTGCTTTTTCAAATTACTTTTGTCCCTCAAGGTCATTACTATGGGGTACATGACCTCTGTATGATGCTTTACTTTTCACTTATTCCAAATTCTAGGCAGGCAAATAATTCCATATCCATAAATTTTCCAGAAAGCTGATTTCTATCCTTCCTCTATTAAAACCACTTCTATAGTTGGGAAAGAGAAGTGGTTAACTATATCCTTTGGTATTTATTATAATTAAGAAGAAATAATTAGCATTATTTTTTGCTTTTAGCTATAATTATCTCCTTCTGGGCTCTGGGTGCCAATTAACACAGTTTATTATAAAAGTATGTAAAACAAATAGTCTCAGACTGAACCGCAATCCAGATTTATCAGGTGTGAAATTGTTAAACGGTTATATCGAGAGTTACTGTTGCTGGGGGATGTTTCATATTACACCAAGTGGCAAAAAATCTTCTGTCAGAAAGACTTCTACATCCCTCCCG